GAACTGTTACCCTATGAGTAGCGCATCCCTCACTGTGCTGAGATGCCTCCTATCGATTATATACTCTGAGCTCAGGATTCTGCTCATGGACAGGAGCCTTGTCACCTTCTTGGTTAAGTAATCAGCCTAATAGTTGAAATGCATAGTAATAATTAAGGAAATATGGAGAACTGTCCTTTCCCAAAGGGACAGCCAAGAGTCTGCCAAATTTGTAGTGACTAGCCACAAGGTTCAATAGAGTGGGTGTCCTGTTTGGAGAGGAGGCTATAGGGCAATTTGATGTTGGCCTGAATAGAAATGATGTAAGATGGTTTCACAGCTGATGAATCCCTGTTGAAATGTTTCAGGTGTGGGCAAGATGGAACCTGGCTACACTGCTCCACAGATCTTCACACTGATGATGCAAGGCATCACCTGTGTCCTCGGCATCGGGGGCAACGAGCTGGTGATCTGGGTGGCTGGATTCCGGATGGCACGCACAGTCACCACCTTGTGTTACCTGAACCTGGCCTTAGCTGACTTCTTCTTCACTGCCACCATGCCATTCTTCATGGTTGAAAATGTCATGAGAGGACAATGGCCTTATGGCTCGTTCCTATGCAAGTTACTTCACATCACAACCGACACAAACCTGTTTGGAAGTGTCTTCCTCATCGCTTTCATTGCTCTGGACCGCTGTGTTTGTGTCCTGCACCCAGTCTGGGCCCAGAACCACCGCACTGTAAGGCTGGCTAAAAAAGTGATCATCGTACCCTGGATTCTTTCACTGCTCCTTAATTTGCCAGTTCTCATCTTCTTTACTACATTAAGAGATGAAGAAGACAATATATACTGTGGTTTCAACCCTCACTTCTGGGGTAACATCAGTGAAGAACAGATCTTGCAGAGGATCTTCACCTCATTTGCAATCATAGGGATCAACGAGTTTGTCACTGGCTTCACTGTGCCAATGTCCATCATCACCGTCTGCTATGGGCTCATTGCTGCCAAAATCTGCAACAAAGGCATGGCTAATTCCAACCATCCCTTACGGGTCCTCACTGCTGTCGTGGCCTCCTTCTTCATTTGCTGGTTCCCCTTTCAACTGTTTCTTCTTCTGTTCACACTCTATGCCAGAGAGATTTCTGAAGGAAAGTATCAACTCATTCCTCTCCTGGTATACCTAACCAGCACCCTGGCCTTCTTCAACAGCTGCCTCAACCCAATGCTCTATGTCTTCCTGGGTCGAGACTTCCGAAAGAGACTGATCCACTCCCTGCCTGCCAGTCTGGAGAGGGCCCAGACCGAGGACTTGGCCTCAACCAGTGACACAACCACCAAATCTGCTTCCTCTCCTACAGGGGCCGAGTTACAGGAGATGTGAGGGGATTAGGATCATTTTTGAGCTTTGCCTGCTCCGACCCTTCTCCCTGTTCCAGCTTCAACTCACCTTGGGTCATACTGTTAGGTATAATTTCCCTGGCTAAGAGAACACAGAAAGAGTTTATTAAGGGACCATATAGATAAGGCTAGCCTTGGAGGTAGCAAGATAACATAGATCTCCTCCATGCCACATGGCAGGAGATTAGTTTATAGGACAGGGCAGGATGGTTAGGGTACTGAAGAAAGACCCATCTTTGATAAGAAGAAAGTGCCTTACATACTTGCCAGGGGCACGCTGAAGGCCCATTCCAGGAACCATGCCTGGGACACAGGGGAGAGGTTAGACCATCTCTGAGAGGATTTTGGGGAAGCAGTCTCTGTTCTGGCCTGAACCCAGCTGGACCTGGCTAGACAATCTGGCAGCGGTCATACCAGTGAATACTCTTCTCTACACTGAAACACTCATCATGAAAAATGCTTTGGTCCCTCTGATTAGGGGGACAGAAATTGCCGTCATTTTTGGTTTTGGCACCTCAGGCGACACCCTGGGGTAAGTGGAAGTGGGAAAGAATACAGGGATGGGAAGAGAAAAAGTGATGGGGAATCTGTAAAGCTTACATGAGACAGTATATTAAGGAGAAAACACTGGTATTCCAACATGAAGTAAGATGTTTCCTGTAGATTGTTTTTATCTGTCTTTCATCTGACCACAGAAGTTTCCTATTTCTAGCTTACTAATGGTTTTCTTCTTTCCTTAATCATAAATAACTATTGCAGTGTATCAAAAGCATGTTCTGCAGATATTAAGATGATCATATTATTTTTAACATTTACTTACACTGTCATAAACTATATTCTTTTTTTTAAAATCCTCATCTGAGGATATTTTTTCATTGCTTTTTAGATAAAGTGGGAGAGAGAGAGAGAGAGAGAAACACCAATGTGAGACAGACATATCTATTGGTTTCCTCCTGCAGGACACCCACCTGGCCAAGGATCAAACTTGCAACCCTTGTGTCCTTGGGCTGACACTCCAAAGGCTCAGCCAAACCTGCCAGGGCAACAATATTCATTTGTAATTTCTAAACTACATTATGTTCATAGAATAAACTTCACTGGGTCATGATATATTTTGTATATTCTAATTAATCTCACTAGGTTAGAGTGGAATTTCTGATTTCATGTTTATCTAAAGACAGGCCTGTTCTTTTCCTTTCCTCCAACATCCATGTCAGGTTTTACATCCAGAGATGTAAAAAAAAAAGCTGGGAAGTGACTGGCCAGTTTGGTTCAGTGGGTAGAACGTCAGCCTGCGAACCAATGAATCACGGGTTGGAGACCCAGACAAGGGCACGTACCTTGGTTGGGGTTCGTCCCAGCCCTGGTCAGGGTGTGCAGGAGGCAACCAGTTGATGTGGTTCTATCACATCGAAGTTTCTCTCTGTCTTTCTCTTTCTCCTTCCTTCCCACTCTAACTGATGGTAAAAAAAAAAAAAAAGGAATTCTGGCCAACCAGTGTGGCTCAGTGGATTGAGCATCAGCCCATGGACTGAGAGGTCCCAGTATGATTCTGGGTTAGGTCACATGCCAGAGTTGCGGGCTCAATCCCCAGTAGGGGGTGTGCAGGAGGCAGCCAATCGATGTTTCTCTCTCACATCAATGTTTCTATCTCTCTCTCCCTCTCTCTCTGAAAAAAAAATTTAATAAAACATATTTTTTAAAAAAATGAATTCTGGCCCTGGCCGGTTTGGCTCAGCGGTTAGAGCGTCGGCCTGCGGTCCGGAGAGACCCGGGTTCGGTTCCCGCTAAGGGCATGTACTTCGGTTACAGTTTGTCCCCGGCCCTGGTTGGTCGTGCGGGTGGCAGCCACTCGATGTGTCTCTTCATGTCGATGTTTCTCTCTCTCTCTCCCTTCCTCTCTCTCCCTCCCACTCTATCTGTACAAAAAATGGAAAAATATCCTTGGGTGAGGATAAAAAAAAAAAAAATGAATTCTGGCCTGGCTAGTGTAGCAGAGTGGTTGAGCTTCAACCCAAGCACCAAGGGGCAGCCACTTTGATTCCCTGGTTGTGGGCCAAATCCCCAGTGGGGGGCATGGAGGGAGCAGCCAATCTCTGTTCTCTCTCATCAATGTTTCTATCTCTATCTCCCTCTCCCTTCCTCTCTCTCTCTTTCTCTCTCTAATAGCAATATTAAAAAAATAAATAAAATTCAAAAAAAGAATTCTCAATTAATAATGAACTGGGCCCTGTTTATTTATCTATTTATTTATTTATTTATTTATTTTGGCGGTACATGCCCCTAGCGGGAACCAAACCCAGAACTCTCTGGTCCGCAGGCCAACGTTCAACCGCTGAGCCAAACTGGCCAAGGGTCAAGTGGTTTATATTTTTATGAACACCTCACATTTTGATTTTCTGTTTCAAATAAAGTACTCTGGCTAGCTGTTGACTGATATCTTGATTTGAAATAAACCAATCTACAATAGTACTCAGCCTTTTCTCTTGGTTTCTGCAAATAATCACACATTTCATGTACTGTGTAGCATAAAAACCTGATATGCTGGCAAAACATGAACTTAAAATAAGTATTCAAGTGCAAAAAATATATATTGGTTCTTAGCCCCTAGTTCTTGCCAGGGCTTCTAAACACTTGCAATTTCATGAATGATAGAAGTCTCTTTTTATTCATGATTCTCCCTTTTGATCACACCAGGATGTATGCTAATGAGGTGAGTGAGGGTGGTCCCCTAGGTAGTCTCAGTGGGACCAAGTGATAAAAGCTTCAGGAATTTCAGAAGCTCAACACAATGAGGTCAGGAAACAAGTGTTGGGAAGCTATATAGAAACTCTTGAACAGATTTGAACTCTTGATGTAAGATTTGATGAGCTTCTAGGTTGCTGAACACATCAAGACGTTGGGAGTGTGGTGGCCCCCAGAGAAAACATGAAAACTCTGCACACATATCCCCTCATATCTTCCCCAATGCATCTCTTTGCTCTGTCTTTTCGGGAGTTGTATTCTTAATAATGAGCTGTTGAACATAAAAAAATTCCTTTCTGAGTTCTGTGAGCCATCCCAGCAAATCACTGTACCTGAGGAGGCAGCCGGAGAACCCAATATATAGAAGGTCAGTCATTAGTATAGTTGGCAACCATGGCCTCCAAGTGGCACCTGAAGAAGGGGTAGTCTTGTAGCACTAAGCCCTGTACATTGTAGGATCTCACCCTAATTCCAGATAGACATATGGTATCTAAAGTATTGTTTGAGTCCAGAAACAAGTTTTTGTTTAACCATTAGCTGTGTTTATTGCTCACCTCCATCTTCTCACCTCAGCACCTGTTTCTTTCATTTCCCTGAATCTCTGAGAGAGAAAGGGTCCCAACACCCATCATCCTTGACCCTTAATATTGAGAGGACTGAGTTCCTGTCTCCCACAACTGGTATGAGGTGAGGGGAGTATTAAGACATTAAGGTTCTAAAAACTGTGAGCTGACATCATATCTAGAACAGTCTCTGGAATTTGCAAAAAGCTCTGAGTGTCTGTCCCCTGATTGGTTGAGCCCCACGGTCCCTCCCCCAGGTCCTTTAATAAAGCATCTGCTGAAACCCTCCAGCCTGAGTTACTGCCCAGGAAGCCAGGAACTGGACACAGGAACAGGATCTCAGCTAACGGTGAGTTCAAAGCTTGATCATTTAAAAAATTTTATTAGCCCACCTATTCAGTGGCAGATACCTCGTGGACTCTAGAGCTGGGCTTTCCAGTAAGAATCCACTGCTACATATGATTATTGAGTTCTTGCTAGTCTGACCTAGGGGCACTGTAGTCAAAAATGAACTTGATATATTCAACTTAGCATAAAAAAGGAATGTAAAATATCTCATTGACAATTCTTAGATTGGTTACGTTCAAATAATATTCTTTACATGTTGAGTTAAAAAAATACATTATTAATATTAATTTGTTCTCCTGGCTGGGATGTCTCAGTAGTTAGAAGGTCGGTCCGCAGACTGAAGGGTCTGAGGTTCGGATCCCAATCAAGGGCGCATAACTGGGTTTCAGTTTTGATTCCTGGTCCCTATCCTGGCACATACGGGAAACAACCAATCGAAGTGTCTCCCTCATATCAATGTTTCTCTCTCCTCCTGCTTACCTCCCCCTTCCACTCTCTCTAAAAATCAATGAAAAAAATATTCTCGGGTAAAAATTAACAAACAATAATTAATTTCTTTTACTTAAAAAAAATCATAAGTGACATGTGAGGCTCACAACTATGGTTCTCTTGGACGGCATGACTGCAGAGATGTAATACTAAAAGAGCTTGGTAGTTTTCTGTAGCATAGGTACTAATGTGGAGTGTATTTAAAAAAAAAAATGAATAAGGACAAATAAACAAGGACAGTCCCTGGTGAGACAGGTTGTTTTGAAGGTTCGTGCTTCACACTGTGGGTCAGGTAGGACCTCTCTCAAAATTGAATAGCTAAACTGACATAAGAATATTCACAAAGAGACCCATGTGGGAAGCATGAAAGGAAGGGCATAGTAGACAGAAGGAACAGAGGATGCAAAAGGCCTGAAATGGTCATGAGCTTGGCATGTTCACAAAATCAAACAAATTCACTGTGCATCCATCACACTGTGTGAGAAGACAATGATGTCTGAGGGGTACACAGGGCAGATCCAGGAGAATTTGGTCAGCTTGAGTTAGGAATTGGGAAGCCATTTGAGTGTGCTGAGTGAATAATGTCTTGGTATGATTTGTGTTTCTAAAAGACCATTTGGCTCATGTCTAGAGTATAGATTGGGTGGCAGCATCAGAAGCAAAAATAAGGTATTTGGTAGGTAAGTGAAAATATGCAGCCAGACAAGGGCCATGGACAAAGGTAACAGTGATAAAAATGATTCTAAGTGTGGTTAACACTTTGTACACAGAACTCATTGACTTGGAGGGATGATCATGGAAAGAATATTCAAGGATGTATTAGACTTGGAGATTTAACAATTGAGTGCTTATGTTCCAAACAGACACAGAATACTGAGCCTGGCAGATTTATTAGGAGATGGAAGAATTAAGAGTTCGGTTTAAGCAATGTGAGGCTTGGGAGGAGGAAAACACAATAAATTGGACTGAGATGCAGTGGCCTATTGTGCTGTAAAAACAACCAAGAGTTTTTCGTATGCACACTTTAACATCCAAAGGCATTAGAAACTGTGTTTAAAAGGTGTCTGTCTAATTGGTCCCACATCACAGAGATATCGAGATAAGACCTGACAAGGCACATCTGGAGTGGTGACATGGACGCCATAGGCATCCTTAATGGGAGCACAGTCCGTGGAGTGCTCAGGACCCAAGTCAATCTGCAGTGAGTTTAGGAGGAATGTTGAGATGCTAAATGGAGACTCTGACTTCTAGTGTTTGGCTGTAAATCTTCTTCACTGAAGAATTTTCTTGAGATAACAAGGCTGAAGCTGGAAATGAACATAAGCCAATGACGGTTTCTTTGTGGAGGGAGTGGATGTGATCATGTTTACGTGATAGAATGATCTCATAAAAAAAAAAAAAAAAAGCCCTGGCCGGTTTGGCTCAGCAGTTAGAGCGTCGGCCTGCGGTTCGGAGAGACCTGGGTTCGGTTCCCGCTAAGGGCATGTACCTTGGTTGCAGTTTGTCCCCAGCCCTCGTTGGGTCGAGTGGGTGGCAGCCACTCGATGTGTCGCTTTCACGTCGATGTTTCTCTCTCTCTCTCTCCCTCTCACTCTATCTGAACAAAATATCAAAAAAAATGTCCTCAGGTGAGGATAAAAAAAAAACTTGGGGATGTCTTGGCAGAAAAAAAAGTGATACAGTGGTGACAAATTATTGGGAAGTTGAGAGAGACAGAGAGACAGAGAGGGAACCAGAGCAAACGTGAAGGGGGAATGAACAGGAACTCTTGAATCACTTATTGTATAAACTGATATGAACAAGAACTCTATGCACTATAACACATGCAGATGGATAGGAGTGCTTGCTTGAGAGAAACCTAAAGAATCATAGAGAATTATTACCATTTTCTCATTAAAACATGAGGCAAGGGCATGAGCTCAGAGCAGGAATGGGGAAGAGGTTAAGATGTTTGAGGTGAAATAAGAACTGAAATCATTACTTCAAACCATGAAAATAAAAAATAAGAGAAAACAACAGGGAACTGCTGAGTTTCCTTGTGAAATCTGTGGTCATAAATGCAGTGATGTCCCTTAACGATGGTAACATCGGGCAGGTCACTTCCTCTGGCAGGACCATGGATGATGATACTAGCCCAAAAGCAAGAAGGTTGTCATTGGAGTTGATAAAGAGTACTGTGAATGAATGGCACCTTGTAAGAGTCACCTAAGAGCAGCCATCATAATGCTTTCGAGTAACATCTTCGGCACACTGGATCTCCCCCACCCTGCACTTAGAGTGGGCCCATATCCTCACAACCTTGCCTCACTAGCCTTTTCTCACCTGTCACTGCACAATCATTCTTCCTGGTTGTATCAACATTTGTGTGTGTGTGTGTGTGTGTGTGTGTGTGTGTGTGTGTTTAATTTTAGAGAGGGAAGAAGAGAGAAAGACAGAGAAAGAGAAACATAGATGTGAGAGAGAAACATTGATTGATTGTCTTCTGTTGCATGACCAGGATGGATACCACAACCTGGGCATGTACCCTGACCAGGAACCAAACCTGTGACCTGACCTTTTGGTACATGGGACAATGCTCAACCAACTGAGACAAAATAGTCAGGGCATGTCAACATTTCTAGACCAACAACTTAGAGATTATTGAGCTCATTGTGTCCTCTGAGTTCCTTATAGGGTATTGACTGGGTGGGTAGAGAGACCCTGACCCTGTTGCGGAAGTACGGGAGGGGAGAAATTAAAGAGCACGTTTCTGCTGGAAAATGTCTGCCTGAGTTCAAATTCGGGCTCTACCTCTTCCTAACTTTAAGCAATTAATGTAACCAGTTTAAGTCTTCCATTCATCCTCTGTACAGTAGTTAATCTAATTATAGCTAACACGAGTCCACATACAACACGTCCCAAAGTATGCTTACTGCTTTACACATTTTCACACATACAGTCCTCAACAGCCACAGGAGAGTTGTGCCGGTGAGGGTTAAAAGAGGAGCTCTTAGCACCTGCAAAATGTTCTTAAATAGTAATTATGATTATTATAAGCATAGTGTTTGACCTGAACTTGAGCTTCTACAATGTATAAATCAGAACGGAATTCCTGGACACATGGCTGAGGCTGGCGAGCACCAAGAGTTTCCATGTGATAAAGAAACCCAGTTCCACCTAAAAGATTTTCAAGTCTATTCTCATCTAATACTCACCAAAAACCAGTCTCCAGCACAAAATCACCCCATTCAGTACAGGAGGCAACAGAAATTCTAAGGTAGGTCACTGTCACTAGGCAGGTGTCAGTGAGATTAGAATACAGATTGACTTACCTCTTGATCCCAGCACTACAGTAAGAACCATGACCCTCACCTGGGGTGGGAGAGGGGTGTGATTATATCCTCAGGGGACATTTGACACTTTGGATTGCCATAACTGGAAGGGATTGCTTCTGGGCTCTGGTAGTGGAGGTTAGAATTGGAGGTAAACATCCTGCAATGTACAAGACAGACATGCCCCCCCCCCCAAACAAAGAATTAGCCACCCAAATATCAATGTTGTCAAGACTGAGAAATGCTAAACTACATTAAGCAACATTCGACAGATGACTAGGTAAAGGGACTGGTGAAGACAGAGAGAAAAGAAGAATTAAAAAAAAAAAAAAAGGCAAGGAAAAAAATATAAGACAAATTGTCATAGGAGGATAGGAACTTCTCCAGGTAATCTTAGGGAAAGGAAACCCTAAAAGCATTATTTACAGTGGCAGAGGCAATGGCTCTGGAATCGGTTCAATCCGGTTCTTTAATCTCCACTACTAGAGCTCTGTACACTGACTGGCTGAGCTCATGATGGTGAACAAGTTGCTGAAAACCTTGGATCACAGCTTCCCCCTGGTGAAAGAGAGATCGTAATGGATGTCATGCAATATTATTACAAATACTAAATGTACACAGGTGTTCAAAAATCTCTGCAGGAGGAAGAATAGCCTAGGCAAAGATGATTATCCAATTATGGGGCCATACAAAATTACCCTAGATTTTATGCAAAGAGATTTTAGGATGGGGTTCATAAATGTGCATTTTATCAGCCACCCTGGATATTTGTGATACATCTCACAGACCACAGCATGAGGAAATTTGGTCAAGTGCAATGGACAAGATGGACCCACAGACATTGGGTTGAATCTGGAGGCAATAGTTACAATGTGACCGGGTCCAGAGGCAGATACACTACATTGTTGTGGATTCCCATTCTTTTTTGTTTTTTAGTTCTCCACAAATTTTATTAATCATAACATCTCATTTACAGACGTCTTGGCATCTTCTCATTCAGACTTCTCTAAACAAAGGTAGTCTGTGGGAAATAATGAATTCCCAGCAAGTAGGCTAACATAAGTAAATTCCATTTTTTATAATTGAAACAAAAAATAAAATAAGAAAGCTAAAACACCTTGTTTGGGCTCCTCCACTCAAGTAATGATCTTTTGATGAATTAGTATGCAGAAATCAGGATGGGCTGGATTTGTGTGGGATAAACACTAATTATATTATTCTCAGGTAGATCAGATTTTTCGTATTTCATAACTTCTATGGGATGATTCATATTTTCAGTTACTGTTTACATTCATTTCTGCTCTGCATTCATCTCTGCCTTGCGAGTCTACTTGGAGCTGGTGTACTTGGTGACGGCCTTGGTGCCCTCGGACACAGCGTGCTTGGCCAGCTCCCTGGGCAGCAGCAGGCGCACGGCCGTCTGGATCTCCCGGGACGTGATGGTCCAGCGCTTGTTGTAATGCACCAGGCGCGATGCCTCGCCCGCGATGCGCTCGAAGATGTCCTTGACGAACGAGTTCAAGATGCCCATGCCCTTGGACAAAATGCCGGTGTCGGGGTGCACCTGCTTCAGCGCCTTGTACACGTACACCGAGTAGCTCTGAATTCCCATTCTTAACAGCAAGCAAATGTGTGCCAAAAGCTTTCTGGGTGATCTTCCCCCAGTGTTATTAGATTTAGTCATGTCCCACTATTAAAACACTCCTTTGCAAAGCAAAGGAAATTCCAGCCTCCATTGAGACAATCAGGATTTGGCCCCAAAGACAGAGAGGAACATCTTCTCTGAAGAATCAGAAACTAAATGTAATGAAGTGTGGTCTGCAGAGAAGAATGTAGGAATGGATGTGGGGTGGGAATCCAGCAATTGTGTAGTTGAGGAAAGACTTGGGAGTCAGATCCAGCAGGATTAAAGTCCTTCCTCTACCCCTTCCTACCTAACTAACCTTCTATGTCTCATCATTGCTCTGAATACCACTTTATTCTTATGTAAGTTAGAAATAATGACCGTTACAGAGTTGTACATAAGGCATATATATAAATAAAACATGATTCCCACTTAATGGAATGCATGACCTGTACTAAGAACCCCACAAATACAGCCCGGCTGGTGTGGCTCAAAGCTGAGCATGGACCCATGCACCAAGAGGTTGCTAATTTGATTCCAGTTGGGCACATGCCCAGGTTGTGGGCCCAATCCCCAGTAGGGGGCGAGCAGGAGGTGGTCAATCGATGTTCTCTCTCATCAATGTTTCTCTCTCTCTCACACCATCACCCTTCCTCTCTCTAAAATCAATATAGAAAAAAATATTTTTTTAAAAGAACCTCACAAATATTAACTAAACCTATTACCTATGACTCTCATATTCTTAGTATGCCACCAATGCTAAAGCTACACCATGGGTGAAAAATCTTTCTATCTCAAACAAAGAAGAACTCCTTATCAAACAGAGACAATGAAAAACAGAGGAGTGAATGCAGAGAAGGGCTCGTTCCCTGAACTTTCCTCCAGCACACACTCCACAGGATGTCACATGTTACCATGTGTTAGCAGAAACTGTTCAAGACCCTCTTCAGCTATAAACTCAAACCACACTCTAAACCTTTAAAGACTAATCAATCAATAGGTCAAAGTTTCTCAGAAGCGGTGAGAACGTGGGGCTGGCAGAGGTTGCAGAGCCTGCCAGCATCTATGCATTGAGTGACAGGGGGAAGAACTGTTACCCTATGAGTAGCGCATCCCTCACTGTGCTGAGATGCCTCCTATCGATTATACACTCTGAGCTCAGGATTCTGCTCATGGACAGGAGCCTTGTACCCTTCTTGGTTAAGTAATCAGCCTAATAGTTGAAATGCATAGTAATAATTAAGAGAATACAGAGAACTGTCCTTTCCCAAAGGGACAGCCAGGAGTCTGCCACATTTGTAGTGACTAGCCACAAGGTTCAATAGTATGGATATGCTGTTTGGAGAGGAGGCTATCGGCTAAGATGATGTTGGCCTGAATAGAAATGATGTAAGATGGTTTCACAGCTGACGAATTCCTGTTGAAATGTTTCAGGTGTGGGCAAGATGGAACCTGGCTACACTGCTCCAGAGATCTTCACACTGATGATGCAAGGCATCACCTCTGTCCTCGGCATCGGGGGCAACGGGCTGGTGATCTGGGTGGCTGGATTCCGGATGGCACGCACAGTCACCACCTTGTGTTACCTGAACCTGGCCTTAGCTGACTTCTTCTTCTCTGCCACCATGCCATTCTTCATGGTTCAAAATGGCATGAGAGGACAATGGCCTTATGGCTGGTTCCTATGCAAGTTACTTAACATCACGATCGACACAAACCTGTTTGGAAGTGTCTTCCTCATCGCTTTCATTGCTCTGGACCGCTGTGTTTGTGTCCTGTATCCAGTCTGGGCCCAGAACCACCGCACTGTAAGGCTGGCTAAGAAATTGATCATCGTACCCTGGATTCTTTCACTGCTCCTTAACTTGCCAGTTCTCATCTTCTTTACTACATTAAGAGATGAAGAAGATAATATATACTGTAGTTTCAACCCTTACTTCTGGGGTAACATCAGTGAAGAACAGATCTTGCAGAGGATCTTCACCACCTTAGAAATCATAGGGATCAACCGGTTTGTCACTGGCTTCACTGTGCCAATGTCCATCATCACCGTCTGCTATGGGCTCATTGCTGCCAAAATCCACAGCAAAGGCATGGCTATTTCCAGCCGTCCCATGCGGGTGCTCATTGCTGTCGTGGCCTCCTTCTTCATTTGCTGGTTCCCCTTTCAACTGTTTCTTCTTCTGCTCACACTCTATGTCAGAGAGATTTCTGAAGGAAAGTATCAATTCATTCTTCTCCTGGTACACCTAACCAGAACCCTGGCCTTCTTCAACAGCTGCCTCAACCCAATGCTCTATGTCTTTCTGGGTCGAGACTTCCGAAAGAGACTGATCCACTCCCTGCCTGCCAGTCTGGAGAGGGCCCTGACCGAGGACTTGGCCTCAACCAGTGACACAACCACCAAATCTGCTTCCTTTCCTACAGGGGCCGAGTTACAGGAGATGTGAGGGGATTGGGGTCATTTTTGAGCTTTGCCTGCTCCGACCCTTCTCCCTGTTCCAGCTTCAACTCACCTTGGGTCATACTGTTAGGTATAACTTCCCTGGCTAAGAGAACACAGAAAGAGTTCAATAAGGAAACATACATATGAGGCTAGCCTTGGGTCTAGTAAGATGACATAGATATCCTCCATGCCACATGGCCGGAGATAAGTTTATAGGACAGGGAAGGATGGTTAGGGTACTGAAGAAAGACCACCTCAGATAAGAGGAAACTGCCTTACATATTTGCCAGGGGCACGATGAGGGCCCATTCCAGGAACCATGCCTGGGGCACAGGGGAGAGGTTAGACCATCTCTGAGGGGATTTATGGGAAGCAGTCTCTATTCTGGCCTTAACTTATCTTGACCTGGCTAGACAATCTGGCAGCGGTCATACCACTGAATACTCTCTTCTCTACACTGAACCACACATCATGAAAAATACTTTGATCCCTCTGACTTGGGGGATAGAAATTGCTGTCATTTTGGTTTTGGTACCTCAGGCTATACCCTGGGGTAAGTGGAGGTGGGAAAGAACACAGGGTAGAAAAAGGGTGAAGGGGAATCTGTAAAGCTTAGAGGGGACCGTATATTAAGGGGAAAATTTTGGTATTTCAACATGAAGTAAAATGTTTCCTGTAGATTGTTTTTATGTCTTTAATCTGACCACAGAAGTTTCCTATTTCTAAGCTACTAACGGTTTTCTTCTTCTTTTTTTAATCCTCACCCAAGGACATTTTTGCATTTATCTTCAGATAGAGCAGGAGGAAGAGGGGGAGGGAGAAAAAGAGAGAAACATCAATGTGAGAGAGACACAGCGAGTGGTCGCCATCCACATGACCCCAACCAGGGCTGGGGACAAACTGCAACTGAGGTACGTGTCCTTAGCGGGAACCAAACCCGAGACTCTCTGGTCCGAGGGCTGACGCTGTAATGGCTGAGCCAAACTGGCCAGAGTTTTTTTTCTTAATCATAAATAACTATTGCATTGTATCAAAAGCATGTTCTGCAGATATTAAGATGATCTTATTATTTTTATTATTTGCTTACACGGTCATAGACTATATTCACTTTTTTAAATCTCACCCAAGGATATTTTTTCATTGCTTTTTAGATAGAGTGGAAGAGAGAGAAGGAGAGAGAGAGAAATATCAATCTGAACTAGACATATCCATTGGTTTCCTCCTCCACAACACCCACCAGGGCCGGATATCAAACCTGCAACCCTGGGGTCTTGGGCTGATCCTCCATACACTGAACCAAACTGGCCAGGGCAACTATATTCATTTTTAAATGTTACACTACTTTGTATTCATAGAATAAATCACACTGGGTCATGATATATTGTGTGTGTGTGTGTGTGTGTGTGTATACATATATATATGTTTATCTATATATCTATATATATCTATATCTAGATAGATAGTTAGAGAAATAGAAAGATTTATCCTCACTAGAGCACATTTTTGCATTCATCTTGAGGGAGAGAGGGAGGAAGGAAGATAGAGAAACATTGACTTAAGAGAAACACATCAATCAGTGGCCACAAAAATGACCCCAACCGGGACCAGGGACGAACTAAAACCAAGGTATGTGCCCTTAGCAGGAACCAAACCTGGATGTCTCTGGACTGTGGGCCAACACTCTAACTGCTTATCCAAACTGACCAGGGCAATTTTGTACATTTCTAATTAATCTCACTAGATTGGTGTGGAATTTCTGATTTGAAAACTATGTAAAGACGTGTCTGTTCTTTTACTTTCCTCTAACATCCATGTTAGGTTTTACATCCAAAGAGTCAAAAAAGAGCTGGGAAGTGATTCCTTCAATTCTGTTCTCTGGTGTTAAATCTTTAATAAATGTTTAGAAAAATTCACCAGTGAACCCAGGTGGATCTTGAGCTTGCTTTACAAGGAACTTCTAAACAGGTTCAATATGTTTAATTATTATCAGACTATTCAGATTTTCTATTTCCTCATCTGTCAGTTTTGGTTACCTGTGATGTTTAAGAAAATTAGCCATTTTATCCAAACAGTCGAATTTATTTAGTATGTCAACTGAGAATCTTTAATGTCTAATGAAAATGAATTCTGGCCCAGACCTGGCCAGTTTGGCTCAGCAGTTAGAGCATCGGCCCATGGACCAATGACTTGTGGGTTCAATTCCCAGTCAAGGGCATGTACCTCGGTTATGGTTTGTCCCAAGCCCTGGTCAGGTTCATGTGTGAGGCAACCAGTCGATGTGGCTGTATCATGTCAATATTTCTTTCTTTCTCTCTCTCCCTCCCTCCTACTCTATCTGATGATAAAAAATAAGAGATAAATAAAAATTTTAAAAAATAATTCTGGCCCAGTTAGTGAGGTTCAGTGGATTGAGCATCATTTCATGGACTGAGAGGCCCCAGTGCGATTAGTGGTCTGGGCACATGCCTGAGTTGCAGGCTCTATCCCTAGTATGGGATGTGCAGAAGGCAGCTGATTGATGTTTCTCTCTCACTTTGAAGTTTCTATTTCTCTCTTCCTCTAAAAAAAAAATCAATAAAGGCATATTAACAAATAATAATAAAAAAATAAAATGAATTCTGGCCCGGCTGGTGTGGCTCAGTGGATGAGCATAGTCCCATGTGCTGAGAGGTCCGGGTTTGATTACTGGTCAGGGAACATGCATGGGTTGCAGGCTTGATCCCCAGTTGGGGGATTGCAGAAGGCTGCCGATTATTGTTTCTCTCTCACATCAATGTTTCTATCTCTTTCTCCCTTCCTCTCTCTCTAAAAAAAAAAATCGATAAAACATACTTAAAAAAAAAAAAAAAAAAGGCCCTGGCCGGTTTGGCTCAGCGGTTAGAGCATCCGCCTGCGGTCTGGAGAGACCCGGGTTCGGTTCCCGCTAAGGGCATGTACCTCGGTTGCAGTTTGTCCCCTGCCCTGGTTGGTCGTGCGGGTGGCAGCCACACGATGTGTCCCTTTCACATCGATGTTTCCCTCTCTCTCTCTCTTCCTCTCTCTCCCTCCAACTCTATTTGAGCAAAAAATGGAAAAATGTCCTCGGGTGAGGATTAAACAAAAATAATAATAAAAATAAAAATAAAAATAAAAAAATAAAAAAGAATTCTGGCCCGGCTGGTGTGACTCAGTGGTTGAGCATCGAGCACACATCAAGAGGTAGCCACATCGATTCCTGGTCAGGGCACATGCCCTGGTTGTGGGCCAAATCCCCAGTGGGGGGCATGGAGGGAGCAGCCAATTTCTGTTCTCTCTCATGGATGTTTCTATCTCTATCTCCCTCTCCCTCACTCCCTCTTTCTGTCTTTCTCTCTCTAATAGCAATATAGAAAAAACAAATATAATAAAATAAAGAATTCTGAATTAATCACAAATTGCACCCTGTTTATTGAACTTGAAATCCCATTTTCAAGATTTTTACAAATCCTCAAGCGGTTTATATTTTTATAAACACCTCACAGTTTGACTTTCTGTTTCAAATAAAGTACTCTGGCTAGCTGTTGACTGATGTCTTCCTTTGAAATAAACCAATCTACAATAGTACTCAGCCTTTTTTCTTGGTTTCTCCAAATAATCACACATTTCATCTCATATGTAGCATAACAACCTAATGTGCTGGCCAAACATGAACTTAAAATAACTATTCAAGTGCAAAAAATATATATTGGTTCTTAGTTCCTAGTTCTTGCCACAGGGCTTCTAAACACTTGCAATTTCATGAATGATAGAAGTCTCTTTTTATTCATGACTTCTCCCTTTTGATCACACAAGGATGTATGCTAATGAGGTAAGTGAAGGTAGTCCCCTAGGTAGTCTCAGTGGGACCAAGTGATTAAAGCTTAAGGAATTTCAGCTCAACACAATGACATCAGGAAACAGGAGTTAGGAAGGCACTGGATATTAAGCTGTACAGAAACTCTTGAACAGTAAGATTTGATGAGCTTCTAGGATGCTGAACACATAAAGACGTTGGTAGTGTGGTGCCCCCCAGAGAAAACATGAAGAAAACATAAAAACTCTGTGCACACACTTCCCCTCATATCTTCCCCTATGCATTTCTTTGATCTGCCTTTCGGGAGTTATATTCTTAATAATGAGCTGTTGAACCTAAGTAGATTCCTTCCTGAATTCTGTGAGCAATCCCAGCAAATCACTGTACCTGAGGAGGCAGCCAGGGAACCCAATTTAGCGGGAACCGAACCCGGGCCTCTCTGTACCGCAGGTCGACGCTCCAACCGCTGAGCCAAACCGGCCAGGGCAGGGAACCCAATTTATAGAAGGTCAGTCATGAGTATAGTTGGCAACGATGGCCCCCAAGTGGCACCTGAAGTGGGGGTTGCCTTGTATCACTGAGCCCTGTACATTGTAGGATCTCACCCTAATTCCAGATAGACAGTGTCTGGCTAAATTGAATTGTAGAACACCCAGTTCAGGTCCAAGATCAGAGAATTATTTTTGTATAGAACAACCCCACAAATGTGGTATCTGAAGTATTGAGTCCAAAAACAAGTTTTTGTTTACCCATTAGCTGTGTTTATTGCTCACCTCCATCTTCTCACCTCAGCACCTGTTTCTTTCATTTCCCTGAATCTCTGAGAGAGAAAGGGTCCCAACACCCATCATCCTTGACCCTTAATATTGAGAGGACTGAGTTCCTGGCTCCCACAACTGGTATGAGGTGAGGGGAGTATTAAGACATTAAGGTTCTAAAAACTGTGAGCTGACATCATATCTAGAACAGTCTCTGGAATTTGCAAAAAACTCTGAGTGTCTGTCCCCTGATTGGTTGAGCCCCATGGTCCCTCCCCCAGGTCCTTTAATAAAGCATCTGCTGAAACCCTCCAGCCTGAGTTACTGCACAGGAAGCTAGGAACTGGACACAGGAACAGGATCTCAGCTAACAGTGAGTTCAAAGCCTGATCATTTAAAAATTATTATTAGCCCACCTATTCAGTGGCAGATACCTCGTGGACTCTAGAGCTGGGCTTTCCAGTAAGAATCCACTGCTACGTATGATTATTGAGTTCTTGCTAGTCTGACCTAGGGGCACTGTAGTCAAAAATGAACTTGATATATTCAACTACTTAGCATAAAAAAGGAATGTAAAATATCTCATTGAAAATTCTTAGATTGGTTACGTTCAAATGACATTCTCTACGTATTGAGTTAAAAAAATACATTATTAATATTAATTTTTTCCCCTGACTGGTTTTGCTCAGTGGTTACAGAGGCAGTCCCCAGACTGAAGGGTCTCAGGTTCGGTTCCTGGTCAAGGATACATAACTGGGTTTCAGTTTCAATCTCTGGCCCCCATCCTGACATATATGGGAAACAACCAATCGAAGTGTCTCCCTCATATTGATGTTTCTCTCTCTATTTCTCTGTCCCCCTGCTTACCTGCCTCTTTCATGCTTTCTAAAAATCAATGAAAAAAATATTCTCGGGTAAGAATTAACAAACAATAATTAATTTCTTTTACTTAAAAAAAATCGTAAGTGACATGTGAAGCTCACAACTATAGTTCTCTTGGACAGCATGACTGTAGAGATGTAGCAACTGAAAGAACTTGGTAGTTTTCTATAGCATAGGTACTAATGCGGAGCATATTTAGAATAAAAAACAAACGAATGGACAAATAAACAAGCACAGTCCCTGGTGAGACAGGTTGTTTTGAAGGTTCATACTTCACACTGTGGGTCACGTAGGACCTCTCTCAAAATTGAATAGATGAGCTATCATAGGAATATTCACAAAGATACCCATGTGGGAAGCATGAAAGGAAGATCATAGTAGATAGAAGAACAGAGGATACGAAAGCCCTGAAATGGTCATGAGCTTGGCATGTTCACAAAATCAAACAAATTCAGTGTGCATCCATCACACTGTGTGAGAAGACAATGATGTCTGAGGGGTACACAGGGCAGATCCAGGAGAATTTGGTCAGCTTGAGTTAGGAATTGAGAAGCCATTTGAGTGTTGAGCAGAATAATGTCTTGGTATGATTTGTGTTTCTAAAAATCCACTTGGCTCATATCTAGAGAATATATTAGGCAGCAGCATCAGAAGCAAATATAAGGTATTTGCCAGGTTAGTGAAAATATGCAGCCAGACAAGGGCCATGGACAAAGGTAACAATGACAAAAATGATTCTAAGTGTGGTTAACACTTTGTACACAGAACTCATTGACTTGGAGGGATGATCATGGAAAGAATATTCAAGGATGTATTAGACTTGGAGATTTAACAATTGAGTGCTTATGTTCCAAACAGACACAGAATACTGAGCCTGGCAGATTTATTAGGAGGTGGAAGAATTAAGAGTTCGATTTAAGCAATGTGAGGCTTGGGAGGAGGAAAACACAGTAAATTGGACTGAGATGCAGTGGCCTATTGTGCTGTAAAAACAACCAAGAGTTTTTCGTATGCACACTTTAACATCCAAAGGCATTAGAAACTGTGATTAAAACGTGTCTGTCTAATTTGTCCCACATCACAGAGATATCAAGATAAGACCTGACAAGGCACATCTGGAGTGGTGACATAGACGCCATAGGCATCCTTAATGGGAGCACAGTCCGTGGAGTGCTCAGGACCCAAATCAATCTGCAGTGAGTTTAGGAGGAATGTTGAGATGCTAAATGGAGACACTGACTTCTAGTGTTTGGCTGTAAATCTTCTTCACTGAAGAATTTTCTTGAGATAACAGGGCTGAAGCTGGAAATGAACATAAGCCAAGGACGGTTTCCTTTTGGAGGAATGGGATGTGATCATGTTTACGTGATAGAATGATCTCATAAAAAAAAAAAAAAAAAAAAAACTTGGGGATGTCTTGGCAGAAAAAAAGTGATACAGTGGTGAAAAATTATTGGGAATTTGAGAGAGTCAGAGACAGAGACAGAGAGACAGAGAAGGAACCAGAGAAAACGTGAAGGGGGAATGAATAAGAACTCTTGAATCACTCATTGTATAAACTGATATGACAAGAACTCTATGCAGCCCTGGCCAGTTAGGCTCAGCAGTTAAAGCATCGACCTGCGGTCCGGAGAAACCCAGGTTCGTTTCCCATTAAGGGCATGTACCTCGGTTGCAGTTTGTCCCCGACCCTGGTTGGTCGTGCGGGTGGCAGCCACTCGATGTGTCCCTTTCACGTTGATGTTTCTCTCTCTCTCTCTCCTCTCTCTTCCTCTCTCTCCCTCCCACTTTATCTGTGCAAAAAATGGAAAAATGTCCTCGGGTGAGGATAAAAAAAAAAAAAAAAGAACTCTATGTACTATAACACATGCAGATAGATAGGAGGGTTTGTTTGAGAGAAGCCCCTAAAAATCATAGAGAATTATTACCATTTTCTCGTTAAAACATGAGGCAAGGGCATGAGCTGAGAGCAGGAATGGGGAAGAGGTTAAGATGTTTGAGGTGAAATAAGAACTGAAATCTTTACTTCAAACCATGAAAATGAAAAATAAGAAAAAACAACAGGGAACTGCTGAGTTTCCTTGTGAAATCTGTGGTCATAAATTCAGTGATGTCCCTTAACGATGGTAACATCGGGCAGGTCACTCTCTCTGGCAGGACCATGGATGATGATACTAGCCCAAAACCAAGAAGGTTGTCATTGGAGTTGATAAAGAGTACTGTGAATGAATGGCACCTTGTAAGAGTCACCTAAGAGCAGCCATCATAATGCTTTCGAGTAACATCTTCGGCACACTGGATCTCCCCCACCCTGCACTTAGAGTGGGCCCATATCCTCACAACCTTGCCTCACTAGCCTTTTCTCACCTGTCACTGCACAATCATTCTTCCTGGTTGTATCAACATTTGTGTGTGTGCGTGTGTTTAATTTTAGAGAGGGTAGAAGGGAGAAAGACAGAGAAAGAGAAACATAGATGTGAGAAAGAAACATTGATTGGTTGTCTCTGTTGCATGACCAGGATGAATACCACAACCTGGGCATGTGCCCTGACCAGGAACCAAACCTGTGACCTTTTGGTACACGGGACAATGCTCAACCAACTGAACCAAAATAGTCAGGGCATGTCAACATTTCTAGACCAACAACTTAGAGATTATTGAGTTTATTGTGTCCTCTGAGTTCCTTATAGGGTATTGACTGGGTGTGTAGAGAGACCCTGACCCTGTTGCGGAAGTACGGGAGGGGAGAAATTAAAGAGCACGTTTCTGCTGAAAAATGTCTGCCTGAGTTCAAATTCGGGCTCTACCTGTTCGTAACTTTAAGCAATTAATGTAACCAGTTTAAGTCTTCCATTCATCCTCTGTACAGTGGTTAATCTAATTATAGCTAACACGCGTCCACATATAACACGTCCCAAAGTATGCTTACTGCTTTACACATTTTCACACATACAGTCCTCAACAGCCACAGGAGAGTTGTGCCGGTGAGGGTTAAAAGAGGAGCTCTTAGCACCTGCAAAATGTTCTTAAATAGTAATTATGATTATTATAAGCATAGTGTTTGACCGGAACTTGAGCTTCTACAATGTATAAATCAGGATGGAATCCCTGGACACATGGCTGAGGTTGGTGAGCACCAAGAGTTTCCATGTCATAAAGAAACCCAGTTCCACCTAAAAGATTTTCAAGCCTATTCTCATCTAATACTCACCAAAAACCAGTGTCCAGCACAAAATCACCCCATTCAGTACAGGAGGCAACAGAAATTCTAAGGTAGGTCACAGTCACTGGGCAGGTGTCAGTGAGATTAGAATACAGATCGACTTATCTCCTGAGCCCAGCACTACACTAGAACAATGACACTCACTGGTGTGTGTGGAGGGTGTGATTATATCCTCAAGGAACATTTGACACTTTGGATTGTCATAACTGGAAGCGATTGCCACAGGGCTCCGCTAGTGAAGGTTAGAAATGAAGATAAACATCCTGCAATGGACAAGACAGACCCCCCCCCCAAACAAAGAATTATTCACCCAAATATCAATGTTGCCAAGATTGTGAAACGCTAAACTACATTAAGCAACATCCCATAGATGATAGATAATGGGACTGGTGAAGACAGAGAGAAAAGAAGAATTAAAAAAAATATATGTATATATATAAGGGGAGGAACTTCTCCAGGTAATTTGGGGGGGAGGTACCCCTAAAAGCATTATTTACAGTGGCAAAGGCAATGGTTCTGGAATCAGTTCAATCCGGTTCTTTAATCTCCACTACTAGAGCTCTTTACACTGACTGGCTGGACTCATGATGGTAAACAAATTGCTGAAACCCTTGGATCACGGCTTCCCCTGGTGAAAGAGAGATCGTCATGGATGTCATGCAATATTATTACAAATACTAAATGTACACAGGTGTTCAAAAATCTCTGCAGGAGGAAGAATAGCCGAGGCAAAGATGATTGTTCAATTATGAGGCCATACAAAATTACCCTAGATTTTATGCAAAGAGATTTTAGGATGGGGTTCATAAATGTGCATTATATCAGCCACCCTGGATATTTGTGATATAGCTCACAGACCACAGCATGAGGAAATTTGGTCAAGTGCAATGGACAAGATGGACCCACAGACATTGGGTTGAATCTGGAGGTAATAGTTACAAAGTGACCTCGTCTAGAGGCAGATACAACTACATTGTCATGGATTCCCATTCTTAACAGCAAGCAAATGTGTGCCAAAAGCTTTCTGGGTGATCTTCCCCTACTGTTATTAGATTTAGTCATGTCCCACTATTAAAACACTCCTTTGCAAAGCAAAGGAAATTCCGCCTCCATTGAGACAATCAGGATATGGCCCCAAAGACAGAGAGGAACATCTTCTCTGAAGAATGAGAAACTAAATTTAATGAAGTGTGGTCTGCAGAGAAGAATGTAGGAATGGATGTGGGGTGGGAATCCAGCAATTGTGTAGTTGAGGAAAGACTTGGGAGTCAGATCCAGCAGGATTAAAGTCCTTCCTCTACCCCTTCCTACCTAACTGACCTTCTATGTCTCATCATTGCTCTGAATACCACTTTATTCTTATGTAAGTTAGAAATAATGACCGTTACAGAGTTGTACATAAGGCATATATATAAATAAAACATGATTCCCACTTAATGGAATGCATGACCTGTACTAAGAACCCCACAAATACAGCCCGGCTGGTGTGGCTCAATAGCTGAGCCACATAGCTGGACCCATGCACCAAGAGGTTGCTAATTTGATTCCGGTTGGGCACATGCCCAGGTTGTGGGCCCAATCCCCAGTAGGGGGCGAGCAGGAGGTGGTCAATCGATGTTCTCTCTCATCAATGTTTCTCTCTCTCACACCATCACCCTTCCTCTCTCTAAAATCAATATAGAAAAAAATATTTTTTTAAAAGAACCTCACAAATATTAACTAAACCTATTACCAATGACTCTCATATTCTTTCTATGCCACCAATGCTAAAGCTACACCATGGGTGAAAATTCTTTCTATCTCAAACAAAAAAGAACTCCTTATCAAACAGAGACAATGAAAAACAGAGGAGTGAATGCAGAGAAGGGCTCGTTCCCTGAATTTTCCTCCAGCACACACTCCACAGGATGTCACATGTTACCAAGTGTTACCAGAAACAGTTCAAGACCCTCTTCAGCTATAAACTCAAACCACACTCTAAACCTTTAAAGACTAATCAGTCAATAGGTCAAGGTTTCTCACAGGGGGAGGAACAGAAGCTGGGAGTCTTTGAGAATGTGGGGCTGGCAGAGGTAGCAGAGCCTGCCAGCATCTATGCATTGAGTGACAGAGGGAAGAACTGTTACCCTATGAGTAGCGCATCCCTCACTGTGCTGAGATGCCTCCTATCGATTATACACTCTGAGCTCAGGATTCTGCTCATTGACAGGAGCCTTGTAACCTTCTTGGTTAAGTAATCAGCCTAATAGTTGAAATGCATAGTAATAATTAAGAGAATACAGAGAACTGTCCTTTCCCAAAGAGACAGCCAGGAGTCTGCCACATTTGTAGTGACTAGCCACAAGGTTCAATGGTATGGATATCCTGTTTAGAGATAAGGCTACAGGGCAATTTGATGTTGGCCTGAATAGAAATGATAGTTTCACAGTTGACGAATTCCTGTTGAAATGTTTCAGGTGTGGGCAAGATGGAACCTGGCTACACTGCTCCACAGATCTTCACACTGATGATGCAAGGCATCACCTCTGTCCTTGGCATCGGGGGCAACGGGATGGTGATCTGGGTGGCTGGATTCCGGATGGCACGCACAGTCACCACCTTGTGTTACCTGAACCTGGCCTTAGCTGACTTCTTCTTCACTGCCGCCATGCCATTCATCATGGTTGAAAATGTCATGAGAGGACAATGGCCTTATGGCTCGTTGCTATGCAAATTACTTAGTTTCACGATTGACACAAACCTGTTTGGAAGTGTCTTCCTCATTGCTTTCATTGCTCTGGACCGCTGTGTTTGTGTCCTGCACCCAGTCTGGGCCCAGAACTACCGCACTGTAAGGTTGGCTAAAAAAGTGATCATCGTACCCTGGATTCTTTCACTGCTCCTTAACTTGCCAATTCTCATCTTCGTTACTACATCAAGAGATGAAAAAGATAATATATACTGTGGTTTCAACCCTCACTTCTGGGGTAACATCAGTGAAGAACAGATCTTGCAGAAGATCTTCACCTCATTTGCAATCATAGGGATCAACGAGTTTGTCACTGGGTTCACTGTGCCAATGTCCATCATTGCCGTCTGCTATGGGCTCATTGCTGCCAAAATCTGCAACAAAGGCATGGCTAATTCCAGTCGTCCCATACGGGTCCTCATTGCTGTCATGGCCTCCTTCTTCATTTGCTGGTTCCCCTTTCAACTGTTTCTTCTTCTGTTCACACTCTACGCCAGAGAGATTGATAAAGGAAAGTATCAACTCATTCCTCTCCTGGTACACCTAACCAGCACCCTGGCCTTCTTCAACAGCTGCCTCAACCCAATGCTCTATGTCTTCCTGGGTCGAGACTTCCGAAAGAGACTGATCCACTCCCTGCCTGCCAGTCTGGAGAGGGCCCTGACCGAGGATTTAACCCCAGCCCGTGACACAACCACCAAATCTGCTTCCTCTCCAACAGGGGCTGAGTTACAGGAGATGTGAGGGGATTGGGGTCATTTTTGAGCTTTGCCTGCTCCAACCCTGCTCCCTGTTTCAGCTTCATCTTACCTTGGGTCATACTGTTAGGTATAACTTCCCTGGCTAAGAGAAAATAGAAAGAGTTCATTAAGGAAACATACATATGAGGCTAGCCTTGGGTCTAGTAAGATGACATAGATATCCTCCATGCCACATGGCAGGAGATAAGTTTATAGGACAGGGAAGGATGGTTAGGGTACTGAAGAAAGACCACCTCAGATAAGAGGAAACTGCCTTACATACTTGCCAGGGGCACGCTGAGGGCCCATTCCAGGAACCATGCCTGGGGCACAGGGGAGAGGTTAGACCATCTCTGAGGGGATTTATGGGAAGCAGTCTCTGTTCTGGCCTTAACTTATCTTGACCTGGCTAGACAATCTGGCAGCGGTCATACCAGTGAATACTCTCTTCTCTACCCTGAACCACTCATCATGAAAAATACTTTGATCCCTGTGACTTGGGGGATAGAAATTGCTGTCATTTTGGTTTTGGCACCTCAGGCTATACCCTGGGGTAAGTGGAGGTGGGAAAGAACACAGGGATGGTAGAGAAAGAGTGAAGGGGAATCTGTAAAGCTTAGAAGAGACCGTATATTAAGGGGAAAATTTTGGTATTTCAACATGAAGTAAAATGTTTCCTGTAGATTGTTTTTATGTCTTTAATCTGACCACACAAGTTTCCTATTTCTAAGCTACTAACGGTTTTCTTCTTCTTTTTTTAATCCTCACCCAAGGACATTTTTGCATTTATCTTCAGATAGAGCAGGAGGAAGAGGGGGAGGGAGAAAAAGAGAGAAACATCAATGTGAGAGAGACACAGCGAGTGGTCGCCATCCACATGACCCCAACCAGGGCTGGGGACAAACTGCAACTGAGGTACGTGTCCTTAGCGGGAACCAAACCCGAGACTCTCTGGTCCGAGGGCTGACGCTGTAATGGCTGAGCCAAACTGGCCAGAGTTTTTTTTTCTTAATCATAAATAACTATTGCATTGTATCAAAAGCATGTTCTACAGATATTAAGATGATCTTATTATTTTTACTATTTGCTTACACGGTCATAGACTATATTCACTTTTTTAATCCTCACCCAAGGATATTTTTTCATTGCTTTTTAGATAGAGTGGAAGAGAGAGAAGGAGAGAGAGAGAAATATCAATCTGAGCTAGACATATCCATTGGTTTCCTCCTCCACAACGCCCACCAGGGCCGGATATCAAACCTGCAACCCTGGGGTCTTGGGCTGATCCTCCATACACTGAGCCAAACTGGCCAGGGCAACTATATTCATTTTTAAATGTTACACTACTTTGTATTCATAGAATAAATCACACTGGGTCATGATATATATATATATTGTGTGTGTGTGTGTATACATATATATATATTTATCTATATATCTATATCTATCTATATCTATCTATCTATATATAAATAGAGATAGATAGATAGATAGATAGATAGATAGATAGATAGATAGATAGATAGATTTATCCTCACTCGAGGACATTTTTGCATTCATCTTGAGGAAGACAGGGAGGAAGGAAGATAGAGAAACATTGACTTGACAGAAACACATCAATCAGTGGCCACAAAAATGACCCCAACCGGGACCGGGGACAAACTAAAACCAAGGTATGTGCCCTTAGCAGGAACCAAACCTGGATGTCTCTGGACTGTGGACCAACACTCTAACTGCTTATCCAAACTGGCCAGGGCAATTTTGTACATTTCTAATTAATCTCACTAGATTGGTGTGGAATTTCTGATTTCAAATTTATGTAAAGACGGGTCTGTTCTTTTACTTTCCTCTAACATCCATGTTAGGTTTTACATCCAAAGAGTCAAAAAAGAGCTGGGAAGTGATTCCTTCAATTCTGTTCTCTGGTGTTAAATCTTTAATAAATGTTTAGAAAAATTCACCAGTGAACCCAGGTGGATCTTGAGCTTGCTTTACAAGGAACTTCTAAACAGCTTCAATATGTTTAATTATTATCAGACTATTCAGATTTTCTATTTCCTCATCTGTCAGTTTTGGTTACCTGTGATGTTTAAGAAAATTAGCCATTTTATCCAAACAGTCGAATTTATTTAGTATGTCAACTGAGAATCTTTAATGTCTAATGAAAATGAATTCTGGCCCAGACCTGGCCAGTTTGGCTCAGCAGTTAGAGCATCGGCCCATGGACCAATGACTTGTGGGTTCAATTCCCAGTCAAGGGCATGTACCTCGGTTTTGGTTTGTCCCAAGCCCTGGTCAGGTTCACGTGTGAGGCAATCAGTCGATGTGGCTGTATCATGTCAATATTTCTTTCTTTCTCTCTCTCCCTCCCATCTACTCTATCTGATGATTAAAAAATAAGAAATAAATAAAAATTAAAAAAAATAATTCTGGCCCAGTTAGTGAGGTTCAGTGGATTGAGCATCATTTCATGGACTGAGAGGCCCCAGTGCGATTAGTGGTCTGGGCACATGCCTGAGTTGCAGGCTCTATCCCTAGTATGGGATGTGCAGAAGGCAGCTGATTGATGTTTCTCTCTCACTTTGAAGTTTCTATTTCTCTCTTCCTCTAAAAAAAAAATCAATAAAGGCATATTAACAAATAATAATAAAAAAATAAAATGAATTCTGGCCCGGCTGGTGTGGCTCAGTGGATGAGCATAGTCCCATGTGCTGAGAGGTCCGGGTTTGATTACTGGTCAGGGAACATGCATGGGTTGCAGGCTTGATCCCCAGTTGGGGGATTGCAGAAGGCTGCCGATCATTGTTTCTCTCTCACATCAATGTTTCTATCTCTCTCTCCCTTCCTCTCTCTCTAAAAAAAAAAAAATCGATAAAACATACTTTAAAAAAAAAAAAAGGCCCTGGCCGGTTTGGCTCAGCGGTTAGAGCATCCGCCTGCGGTCTTGAGAGACCCGGGTTCGGTTCCTGCTAAGGGCATGTACCTCGGTTGCAGTTTGTCCCCGGCCCTGGTTGGTCGTGCGGATGGCAGCCACTCGATGTGTCCCTTTCACATCGATGTTTCCCTCTCTCTCTCTCTTCCTCTCTCTCCCTCCAACTCTATTTGTGCAAAAAATGGAAAAATGTCCTCGGGTGAGGATTAAACAAAAATAATAATAAAAAAATAAAAATAAAAATAAAAAAGAATTCTGGCCCGGCTGGTGAGACTCAGTGGTTGAGCATCGAGCACACATCAAGAGATAGCCACATCGATTCCTGGTCAGGGCACATGCCCTGGTTGTGGGCCAAATCCCCAGTGGGGGGTATGGAGGGAGCAGCCAATCTCCATTCTCGCTCATGGATGTTTCTATCTCTATCTCCCTCTCCCTTACTCCCTCTTTCTGTCTTTCTCTCTCTAATAGCAATATAGAAAAAACAAATATAATAAAATAAAGAATTCGGAATTAATCACAAATTGCACCCTGTTTATTGAACTTGAAATCCCATTTTCAAGATTTTTACAAATCCTCAAGCGGTTTATATTTTTATAAACACCTCACATTTTGACTTTCTGTTTCAAATAAAGTACTCTGGCTAGCTGTTGACTGATGTCTTGCTTTGAAATAAACCAATCTACAATAGTACTCAGCCTTTTTTCTTGGTTTCTCCAAATAATCACACATTTCATCTCATATGTAGCATAACAACCTAATGTGCTGGCCAAACATGAACTTAAAATAACTATTCAAGTGCAAAAAATATATATTGGTTCTTAGTTCCTAGTTCTTGCCATGGCTTCTAAACACTTGCAATTTCATGAATGATAGAAGTCTCTTTTTATTCATGACTTCTCCCTTTTGATCACACCAGGATGTATGCTAATGAGGTAAGTGAAGGTAGTCCCCTAGGTAGTGTCTCAGTGGGACCAAGTGATTAAAGCTTCAGGAATTGCAGCTCAACACAATGACATCAGGAAACAGGAGTTAGGAAGGCACTGGATATTAAGCTGTACAGAAACTCTTGAACAGTAAGATTTGATGAGCTTCTAGGATGCTGAACACATAAAGACGTTGGGAGTGTGGTGCCCCCCAGAGAAAACATGAAGAAAACATAAAAACTCTGTGCACACACTTCCCCTCATATCTTCCCCTATGCATTTCTTTGATCTGCCTTTCGGGAGTTATATTCATAATAATGAGCTGTTGAACCTAAGTAGATTCCTTCCTGAATTCTGTGAGCAATCCCAGCAAATCACTGTGCCTGAGGAGGCAGCCGGGGAACCCGATTTATAGAAGGTCAGTCATGAGTATAGTTGGCAACGATGGCCCCCAAGTGGCACCTGAAGTGGGGGTTGCCTTGTAGCACTGAGCCCTGTACATTGTAGGATCTCACCCTAATTCCAGATAGACAGTGTCTGGCTAAATTGAATTGTAGAACACCCAGTTCAGGTCCAAGATCAGAGAATTATTTTTGTATAGAACAACCCCACAAATGTGGTATCTGAAGTATTGAGTCCAAAAACAAGTTTTTGTTTACCCATTAGCTGTGTTTATTGCTCACCTCCATCTTCTCACCTCAGCACCTGTTTCTTTCATTTCCCTGAATCTCTGAGAGAGAAAGGGTCCCAACACCCATCATCCTTGACCCTTAATATTGAGAGGACTGAGTTCCTGGCTCCCACAACTGGTATGAGGTGAGGGGAGTATTAAGACATTAAGGTTCTAAAAACTGTGAGCTGACATCATATCTAGAACAGTCTCTGGAATTTGCAAAAAACTCTGAGTGTCTGTCCCCTGATTGGTTGAGCCCCATGGTCCCTCCCCCAGGTCCTTTAATAAAGCATCTGCTGAAACCCTCCAGCCTGAGTTACTGCCCAGGAAGCCAGGAACTGGACACAGGAACAGGATCTCAGCTAACAGTGAGTTCAAAGCCTGATCATTTAAAAATTATTATTAGCCCACCTATTCAGTGGCAGATACCTTGTGGACTCTAGAGCTGGGCTTTCCAGTAAGAATCCACTGCTACA